AAGTTTTGCAAATTGCTTTTCTAAGTGCAAAGAACTCCACTCAAAATGCATTTAGATTTGCTGCAATTAATGCACTTTTTGCCATCAAAGAAAACAGTTTCACCTGGTGTCACTCATTGAGTATGTAAAATATTACTAAAGAATTAGCTAGGAAATGATTTTTCGAGCTGGCTGTCATTTTTTTAAAACCCGCATAGCTGTGCATACAAAAGCACAATGTGTTTTTTAAAGACATGTTGCATGACAGCTTTAAATAAGGCAATACAAACTATGTGTTCTTTGTCAGTCTCTGGGATGCATTTTATTTACATTTATTTGTAATTTGTTCATGAGATAAAAGCACATTTTCATATCCTTCCTGGCTTTAAAAGATGCCATATTTTAAAACGCCAACACTTTGTGGCTGTGTATTATGAATCTGCAATGCTTTCTAGTTTTTCCTTGATTGGCTTAGTGATTTAAATAGCTGTACAATGGATACAAAAGTGTTTCATGTTGTTTTATTGGTAGACAAATACGGAGAATATTTTGTCAAGCTTATTTAAACATTTAGCAAACAAGTCTAAGATTTCCCTATGTGGCTGTGTTTAATAGTAATGGTTTGTTGAATCCTTGTCTAGTGCAAAATGTGTCTTGCTACATTGAACAAAGGGATGTCTTGTGGCATATTTGACAATAATTACGACTTAGATGAGTGTGTGCTAGGTAAAATAGTACAAATTATAGATATCAATGACTGACTTCCGTTGACACCTATTCTGCTGTTTTTATCAGAACTGAGTTTGCTTTTAGCATTATCTTTTTGTTTAAAAATGCTCTGTACAAGGCATTTATTTCCCTTTCACATTTCCTATATAGATTGCTTTGCACTGTGGATTGTTTGTTGATATAAAATACTTTCCAAAATAAACTTTTCTGGCTTTTAGTTGAATTGTAAGTCTCAATTGTGCCCTCTGGCTTTAAGTGACATGTGTTGACAACTAGGGGGAGCTCATAGCCTGTATCATAGTAGATTATGGTTTGAATCATCCAGTAGTACTGGTGGGTGGAATACAATAGCTTGGGAAATAATAGCTGTATCTGAAGCAGTTTACGTTACTGCAAAATATTTTAAGTGTAAAGTTGTAATATTGATTTTCATGCAAAGATCTATCTGCTTCTAGATGAGTGGGAATGCAACTTAGATAAATCTGCTCTTAAAGAAATCATGACTGATTAACGGGCTTCTGCTAGTGGAAGTCTTTAATTAAAATTAGTTTTTTTACAGTGTCTTTTATCATCAACATATAATCTTTAAATTCTCAGTTTGTTATTGTCAGATAGTGTCCAGGCTGATGACAGCCACAGGTATAGATTAATTTAAAAATACATGTGCATCTGTTTGTCTGCTTCCTGTGTATGAATAACATACAGCGAATGTTAGATAGAGAAGATTGTGTGCATTAAAAATGCATATGAATGTTCATACAATTGTATGTGCTTATGTGTCAGAAAGCTTGAAATCCCACTCGATTGTATCTGATTTTGGGTTGCTTATATTGTTTTTGATCCATGAGTCCTTTTAACATACAGGCTGCAGGTCCTGTAAATAAAAAAACGTGTTTCCCTAAATAAATAAACGTAAGTCATATACAATGTGTAAAACTTTCCTTGGAATGAGTGATAGGCTACTATATAGGGCTTTCACCATTCACTGTTTTAGTTTGCCTCTGCATTGTTGATAGACTCTAGTGGGACACTTTCTTGCACACACATAGCAAGCGTTGATCACTGGATCTCAGGCTATAATGTTTACCTCACCAAGTCCAAGAAATTTGTCAAGTTATAGTTTTATTAACATAGCAATGGCTTATTCTTATTTTAGGCCTGAAAGAGAAATAAATTAGGTCAGACAAAAGATCAGGGCTGTCATCAACTGTAGAAAAAGCCTTCACTCTTGAGTACAGAGGGCCAGCAATTTATCTGATGATTTCTCTACTTCATTGAATGTTTGAATTGAGCTAGTTGGAAGCATATAGACAGCAGCCAGCTCATTTGACAGACCTGGAAGATGAAGAGCACCGTGGCTCAAACACTGATGATGCTAACATTCTCCAGCTATGGGAAAACCTTTTCTGCAGAAACCTCAAACTTCGTTGACTGTGGCTTTGCTTCAGTTCCACGACTAAATTTGTATTAAGAAACATAATACCTGCCCTCCCTCTCATAACAGTTGGGTACAAGCTCCGTGAGATTGAAACCCGTTTTAAAAAGTCTCGCTGAAGAGACTTACTACAACCAAAATGGCTCTTCACTTCCGCCAAATATTTTCTTCTTTTGGTTGTTATTCCGTGGCACAGCAGTCGTCTTTGCTTCTTCGTGCCCACTACGCTGAGTTGGAATTTTCTGTAGAATTTAGTCTTTTGAGGTTAAGAGTAGGTGGTCTCAGAGAAGGCTAGAGGAAAAGTAAGCTGCCTTTAAGGGCCGAATCAGAATGCATAGCAAAGTTATGAGTGCCGTAAAAGTGCCTTGCGAAGTGTGTACCCACATTATATGCAGATAGATGTATATATATATTTTGGAATGGGGGGGGTAAGACATCAATAAGCAAGTGAAGCATTGATAAAAGTATGATTCATTCAGCTGCTGCTACTACAGCACCTTCCTCTTTCAAGTTTATTTACTTTCATAAATTGTGTCTATGCAGGCAGCACACTGCGCACTGCTCCTTTGCACCCTCAAAGGCAGTTGTGTATTCATAGTAAGTTACAGCTTCTAAACATCAGTTAAATTTGCTCACTGCTTCCCTCCCCAAAAAGCTGTTGCCTACTCTATACTGTATCCCCCCGCTAAAGCTCTAAGCAGCAGCAGCTTTCCCCAAGGAATATATAAAAAATGCCTAAAGCAGGCTATTCGAAAACAAATTAAAGCAGAGGGACGCACTTCACGCATCGCAGGCACGCGCCAGTGGAGGGGGTTAGAAGAATACCATCATTTTACTGGCAAAAGTGACACCAGATCGGGGATTTGATTAATGGTATGGCATTCACAGGGACTGAGTTCTGTATTTTTGACATATGCAAGTCTTTTGTGTAGTTGCCTCAATGGAAGAAATTCAATTTTTTTTGTCTGAAGCAGCTGATAATTTGTGTGTGTGCTGTTATGTGACCAGGGTACTTTCCAGAGACTCAGAACTAGACAGCACATTATAAAAAAGGGAATCCAAAGTTAAGGGGGAGAAAAAAAATCACTAGTTTACTTAACTTTTTCATGACCCTTTCCACTAAGCCACTGGCATAAGCCATAAATTCATCAAATGTTATAATGAATATGCTTCCATGAAAGTCGAAAAAATGGCTCAAGAAAGTTGTATATGAATAACAGTGATTTATGCCTCATTCAGAACATACACTCTTTGGAGACTGAAATAAAAACAATATAGTTATGTGTTTAAATCAATACACTAATCAACACTAATTTCAATCATGCTTTTAAAATATTTAGCTAAGAGTTTGTAATTCAGGGATTCTTTTCCAATACAGTTAAAAGATTGTACCTCAGTACAGCTTTTGACACCTTTTGTGTATCCAGTATTTTTTTGTATGTGTATTTAGTTTTAAATAAAACAAATATATTCACTTGGGACTAAAGAATGCTTTTATATCACATCATCACAATCTCTGTTTTATCTGTGAAGATTTACAGCTTTTGTGGTCTATAAAAGAACTGATGCATTTTAGGCACTCAATAGCAGTAAATCTTTATCTTTTTTAAGAGCATCTAGTTTATTTAGGAAAACATACATCGCTCCTTTCTGTAACATTGTATGTGTAATTTCTGATTAAATAACATCTGAGAAATGCCCAGGATTCAAGTATACAATTGGATATGCCTGGCTTTTGTTTTGTTTGATATATACGTTCTTATTAGTATTTCATTTCCAAATCCATTTTTCTTATACTATAATCCTTATTGCATTCGCTGCAGTGGAGGAGAGGTTTGTTCCATCTCAGGTGTGGACTGAGGGTTAAACTGCATTTTGAGAGGTTTAGGATACTTCGAAAATAGGTGTTTGATATACTGTGTTGCAGAAGAGCCCTGAAACTCACAGCTGTGTGTTCTGTTTGCTAATGCATTTGATCTAAATGGGTTATCTCCCTCTCCCCTCCCTGCATCCTAGTCCCTGCGCTGTCTAGTGATCGAAAATCATTAACATCTGAAGGCTGTGCAGTGGACTATGTGAAGTGGTGGTCTCTGTCCAGTACCTTAGTAGACAGGTGTTCACATCCTAGCAAAAAACCCTTTCTCTACCACAACTGGAACTAACTGGCATGCTTGTACGACTGTCTTAGCAGAGTGAATGGGCTAAAGAGATAGTCCCTACAGGTCAAGGTTGAGGCACATCGTCCGGGCAGTTTGGGGAAACTCATATAGCTGCTGCCTGTGCTGTTCTGAGGATAAGTGGAGAATCTCAATCTCTTGGGCTGTCATCATGCACTTTTCACAAGCATGAGGTTCACTTAAAAGTAATATAAAAATATGAGTCTCCCTGTCACTAGAGCTTTCTTCCCGATCGCTGTTGTTTTGCTCTTTGCTAATTCATCCTCAGTTTTTTTTCATGAAGAATTGATTTTTAATCGTGCGGATCAGAAAAATTAAATATTGATGGCAACTAAAACCGGCCAAGGCTGTTGGGTGTGATGTTGGTGCAATTTAGACATAATACAATATCTACACACTGCAATTCACAGCAGTGAAGATGAAAAGACTCTGTATGCAGAATATTGCTAGTCTTTGGATGGTGAGGTGATGAAGCCCCCTGCATTCAAAAGTATTGGTTGTAAGCAGGTGAAATCAGAATACTGGATGCTTCTGATAATCTAGCCAGAGTGTGTGTTACCTGTGCTGTTTTTCTAAGAACATTAATATTACAATGAGTGTGACATGCATGTGCGTGTTGTTAGCACAGCATCATTGTAAAGTCTAGTTTGTCAGCAACACCCCAAGCAGTGATTTTCAACTGTTTTTTATTTGTGGACCCCTAAAAAAATTCAGATGGCATTGCAGACCCCTTGGGGGTATTTTAGACATAGGCTGTGGTTCCCTAGGGATCTGTGTACCACAGGCTGTTAACCACTGTTGTGTGGTAATGACTACTTTTTTTTAACCTCAAGTTGAGGTACACTGACCTGAGGGACCAGTCTTTTCTTTGTGCCCTTTTATTAGAAGGAGGGATAAAACATTAAAAGCAGAGATTTGGTTTCAAAGCACTGTGGAGTTGCCTGTGTTTCAATGCAGTGCCTGGCACATGGATAAGGGTGCCGGGTAACTCCAAGTGCATGGGACATAGGCGGGAGGGAGCGTTTGTCACATCCTTAAAGGTAGAATTTTCCTATAGTTGGGGGCAGCTGGCAAATGCTGCAAGATTCATCAGTTCGTCAGTACAAGATGCAGTCAGATCTGGTTAATCTGTGTTCTGCTTATTTGAGACTCTGGAAGATTTACATGGTAACCAGTCTCACAGTACCCATGGAAATTGGGACACCCGTTAGCGCCTCTATAGTTAAGGCTGTGGCAGTGTTTCCATCAACCTTAGTTTTTATGGATTTCCATAGGAATGGTACACGGGAAGAAATTTGATATGCAGAATCTTGATCCGTGATCAGGTTTTTCCCCCCTCACTTCCTTAAATGAATTAAAATATATTAACATTTCTTGTGTTTTATGCTGTATGATAAAAGAAGGCAGTTTATTGATTTAGGGCTCTTTTGTATTTTTAGTACTTCAGTAAAACTAAAACAGAGAATGAAATGTAACATTACCTGTTATAGACCTCACCTGAAGCTCATGGGAGTCTTTCCATTGAGTTCCCCAGACTTTGGATCTGGCCCAGAGTGTGCTAGCTGAAGCTTTCTTGGTATTATGAATGAGCTAGAAACACCTGAAAATCAGAAACCATTGCAGGCGTAGTAATTTTAATATTGTGTATGGATAATATACAGATATGCATAAATATTGCAATGGTGTCCCCATGCTAAGAATTGTAGTGTAAATGATCCTCTGACAGAGCCGTTATAGCCTTGGATGAAAAATCACTTGATTTTTAATGCAGATTGGTGCGATAGATAGTAACAGTGCTTAGGGATGCCACTAGGAGTCTGACAACTAAGAGTGCTTTGAATGAACATTGTCTAAATCCATTAAGCACATGAAACCATTGAATGACATCAGTTTCAGTTGGTGCCCACTTTGGACACTATCTGTGCTCCATGGATTGCAATATTCCCTGTGAGCAGTTATTGATGCATTGCTTGGATAATGCATTGGGGTGTACTGAGAAGCTGGGTATATCTTGGACCACCTGGCTGGAAGCAGTTAGTTTTCACTTTGCCCTTCCCAATAGAAGAAAAACAGGCTTTTTTAGATTCTTTCTCTTTTTGGTGGTTCAACTTTTCCTCCTTTTTAACATTCTGTTTTAAATACATAATAATAATAAAAAAAAAAACCCTCTAACGATGAAGCCCAGCAGCCCAGCAACAGAAATGAAACCACAGAAAGTGAAGTTCAAATAATGCGAAGGAGCCTCTCATTTGAAACCCACACGCACAAGGAAAGTCAGAGTTTGTATTCAGAGTCTGGCCTAAACTGCCCACTTGAAACTGCAGGGATCTCAAATGCTGGAGGTTTTTACCTGAGGTGTTATCCAAGCTTAGCACATGAGTTAAGGCTGGATTTTTAGCCTTTTCTATACTTTCTTTTGTGAATTTGCATCTGTGTCCTCTAATGCTGTTTTAATGTACATTTTCAGTAACTTAACTGAGTTGTTGAGAAGGAGCTTTTTCATCTTTTCAGAGTAAAAAAATAATATGCAAATTTATATGGATAAAATGCATTTGAAGATATAGTAATAATTTTGCCTGACATTATTTTATGACCATTTCCCAGGCCCTGGCAAAATCTGCGTGTGTGTGTATGTGTGTCTTACATAGTTTTGGATTGATAGATATCAGATCGATCCTTTTCTGGATGATTTGTTTAACTTAAATCAGAAATACAGTGAAGTGAAAATCTTTGAATACTTTGGAAACCAATTACTACTGAGCATAAGGGCTTAATGCACCTAGAAAATGAAAAGCTGATTTTCTGTTATGTCAAGACTACCAAAGTATGAAAGAATACCAGATGTTATTTGAAAAAATTCTAGTGCAGGATTCTTGGGAAAAAGAGACATATGTGGACGTAACTAAAATTCAGATTAATTGTAGAATTGAAAAGAAGGAATTTTGAACAAATGTAGTAGCTAACATCTAAAAGATACTTCATTTCTTCTACCAGACATATTCAGAAATCCTTATCCAATGCAGTTTTGCTACATTTTCTGAAACATCAGGGAAAAATAATCCTGTACATCAAAAAGATAATAGAGTTGAGATCTATATGTGTTTTTATTTATCAGTTACATATACATATAACAGAGTTAAACCTTTGTAATTTGAGAGGCATATTTAATCCGAAAGCTGAACAGGGATATTTTATGAACCTAATAACAAGCATTTTTCCTCCCCTTCTACTTTTCTTTAGCTCAGTTTAGCTCTCGTTTTCATTTTATCTTTTCTAGGTCTTTGTCCCGTCTACTTTTAGTGTGTCTATGTTTTAATATTTTGACATTCTGCTCCCACTGACTAGGAATTCTTTCCAGAACTGGTGCACACATTTCTTAAAGACCTTTTTCACAGTCCTTTTCGTTTGGCTCTAAAATTATGTATATGCAATTGGTAATTAAAGGTGCAACCTTTCTTCAATATCAACAGTATTGCTCAATGTTAGATCATTAATGGGAACAGAAGCACTAAATAATTACCTTTTGCATTCTGACACACTGTTCGCAGAAATTCACTCTCTCCCCAGCAATCTTTGTTCAGCACAGGGTTATGATTACATATTCACTATGGCAAAGCATCTTTTCAGAAAATAAATTGGTAAATTAATTATGTAGCATTGTCTTCAAACTCCTTTTAAACTTAGATTAAGGGGGGGAAAGTAATTAATGGTTTTCAAAACATGTATTATGCTTAGAGTTTAGTTACCTTGTAGATTTATTTTGTTATAAGTTAGTAAATTCAAAGCTTTACAGTCTGTATCTTCTGTCGACTGGATGTGACTTGCTCAGACACTGGTTTCATGGGATGCGAGTCCCGTTCTTACTACGGTAAATATAGGAAGCATGATATTTTTTCCTTACTTTGCATACTCTAGGCCAGTGGCTGTTAACCTTTTCAGACTACTGTACCCCTTTCAGGAGTTTGATTTGTTGTGTGTATCACCAAATTACATTTCATTTAAAAACTACTTGCTTACAAAATCAGTCATAAAACTACAGCAATGTCATAGCACATGATTACTGAAAAATTGCTTACTTTCTCATTTTTACCTGAATTGTAAAATCACTTGGAATATAAATATTTTCTGTACATTTTAGTATAGAGCAGTATAAAGTCATCTGTATGAAATTTAGTTTGTACCGACTTCACTAACGCCTTTTATGTAGCTTGTTGTAAAACGAGGCAAATATCTAGATGAGTTGATATACGAGAACCACTGCTATAAGCTTACAGTGAGTACTGATGTAACTTGCAATACAGGTGATGGAGGTACTCATCAGCAGTTTATCTTAAAAGGAGAAGGCAGGGGAGAATCCTCCTCCAAACTTTTTCTGTGACTGAGAATGGTCAATAACTTCCTAGCTATAGAGTGTATTTCTCCCATTTTCCATCCCTTTTTGTATATTTTTTCTGCAGTTTGCTATATATCTGGGCAAAACTCCCACTGACTTCAAGGGAGGAGGATCTAATTCTATATTACTACATGCTGTTTACCCACTGCTTTTGAGAACTTTGCATGCCTTCCTTTCTCCAGGAAACTGAAAAGTAGAACCACTGATGCGACATGCTTTTCCCTACGCCAGATTCAGTCACCAGATTCAGTTGTCTCTCTACTCACTGATTTCCGTACAGCTAGTTCCCTGTGTACTGGTTGGGCCAAATACTATCATCCTTTCTTAGGTAAAACTCCCTCAGGTAAAAGTCAATGGAGATTTTGCCTGAGTAAAGACTTAGGTTTCTGAGATTTGTCAGTTTGGCTGTAGAAAAACAACAACAACAAACCAAAACATTTTTCTCTAGAAATGGCTTGTGAACTACAATTATTCTATATCTATATCTATTAATAGAATATTCATTTTTAACATAGAATACTTAGTGATTGATTATAAAATTTCCTTTGAAACTGACATGGGTGTTCTGATAAAGAAATATTTTCGGAGGATGAAGGTTTTAAGTTAATTATTAGAAACCCTTCATAAGAAAATATTCTATAATCTGTGGAATGATAACAACATTTGGTAGAAATAATGAGCAGAAGATTTAAAGTCTAGCTAATATTCCTGCATGGAAATAAGTGAGTCTCTCTCTCTCTCTCTCTCTCTCTCTCTCTCAATGCTTTTAAAAAGTCCCTGACTTCACACCACAAAACATATCATCTTACTCACATGAGTAGGTTAATGTAACTAGTGCTATTTTGTTGCCACTTAGTCTTGCTACTATATGTTTGTATAAGTGCTATTTTTGTGTGCCATATGGAACCCGACTATGCATTCCTCAAAGCACCAAAAACACCCATGGAAGTCAAATGAGAGTTTTGTGTGTGTAAGGATTGCTGGATCAGGTGTGTGCTGGATGGCAGTAAGAATGAGAAGATGGAATAAACTTTCCAAACGAAACTTGAGGACCGAGCATTGCGAAATGGCTCGTTGCTGGTATTATTGCAATCCTGGCAGCAGTTAGAAAGAGCTGTCAGGAAAGCTATGCCAGGTCAGCCTATCGTTTTGTTTCACAGACAGTCTTGGTTGCAAAATATATTGAAATCATTATGGGAAAGGGAGGAAGCCATGGAAAAGAAAAGAAAGATACAATCAGGCTGTTTTGGCTGACCTCATGGTACAACATTCAGATTCTGTGAACATTCAAACCAATCTCTCTCTCCTCCCCACCCCCTTTCCCTCTTTCTTCTTGTCCATGTAAAGCAGAGGCTGACCATGTGGAAACGGTGCTTGCCGATGAAGATGAGAGCCTGGCAATAGCGGAGCCGGGTGGCATCAGCATCGCCCCAGGTGGGACAGACCCCGATTTGTTAACCTGTGGACAGTGTCAGATGAACTTCCCCCTGGGAGACATCTTGGTTTTTATAGAGCACAAGAAGAAACAGTGCAATGGCACTGGTGGTGCCTGCTACGAAAAGAGCCTGGATAAGAGCAGCCCTCCCCCCTCCTCTCGCTCCGAGCTCAGGAAAGTGTCAGAGCCCGTGGAAATCGGGATCCAAGTCACACCCGATGAAGAAGACCGTCTCCTCACGCCTACAAAAGGAATTTGCCCCAAGCAGGAGAACATTGCAGGTACAGCATGTTTTACACTCACTCAACTGCCTAGGTAATCTTTTATAGCAAGCCCTCTAGAAAGTGCTGTGAAATAAAGTGTTCAATAGCAGGTCTTTATAGGAGCCATTTGCCTGGAGCAACCTTGCTAGTCAGAGCTGTGGCATAATATTGACCATTTTTTAATATAGTAGTACCTTTCTGTGACGGGCCAGATGTCAGTGAGTAATGGCTGTTTTCAAGGTTTGAAGCTGGTCTTGTGGGATATCTATAGGAATAGTCTGTACACACAAAAAAGCTCAAGGCTCAGAGTCAGAGGGGCCATTTTGATGGTGTCTTTCCCAAGTCATAGGGCAAATAGTTATCTAGGAAAGACAACAGAACATTATGCACTAGGAAAATTCATCCCTATACAGAGGCCCTATGCAACACTTAAAGCCCAAGGATAGGACCAAAACTTAATCCCATTGAAATCAGTGGCAATGTTGATTTTAATGTTAGGAGGATTTGGTCTTGAAGGATAAAGTGGAGCTCACCTAGTTTACGGGACCCTCTTTGCTCCCTCTACACTGAGGTGAATTTCAGTCTTATTTTCCAAATGACCAGTTGATGGGGCTGTGGTTACTGATGCCCTGTATATCTTGAATTTTCATACGTAGTCTGAAAGGAAAGAACCTGTTCAAAAGCATGCTCAGAAAGGGTGTTTTGAAAGTAGAGATGAACACAATCTGGCCTGGGTTAGTAGATTACAGGCCTTTTCTTTTTTAAAATGCTTGGATTTCTTGGAGAAATTGCATGTGTAGGTTAAAGCCGCCCCAAGGCCAAAACTTACTCAGTATATCTATCCCTAGTGGTCTCACTGACTGGGGCAATACAGGGGACCGTATCCAACTGGATGAGCTGTTCTGAAATCTTTTCTGCATGATACATGTCACAGATTGGTCTTCTGTAGTATCAAATATACAGTAAATTCCTTTGCTCTGCACCACTGCTTTCCCCTGTAATCAAGCACATGCTGCTTATGACAGTTGTCTGACTTGCTCCTTCTCTTACTGTGCGGGTTCCCTATAATCTCTCAACATCGACTCTTGAGTCAGACTTGTCAGTGGAATCCACTTTCTCCATGCAGGACTGAAGAGCAACAGGATGTGATGCTTGCTTTCAATATGCTGGTTTTTCATAGGAATTAGAATCATAGAACCATAGAGCTGGAAGAGACCTCAGGAGGTCATCAAGTCCAGCCCCCTGCCCAAGGCAGGACCAATCCCAACTGTCAAACTAGATCAGAGCCCCTAGTCCAGTATCCCTTCTCTGCTAGTGACCACAATACAATCCACTGGTCAGTGAGTGTGACATGTCCTCAGCTGGCCAGATCTGCACAAAACATGTGTCGGTGGCATCCACTAGCTAGAGTGGCTGGCTATTGAGTTTGAGCTGCAAAGACTCATGCTGTTAGCAGTGGATGCTGCTGGTTTAGTCCCTGGTGTCTGCTGTTGCATAAGTGGAATTTGAACTGCTCTGGGCATCAGACGCTCCAGATGAGCTTCGTCTGTTGAGAGGAAGTATGTAACCACTACTGGTGTGTGCTCAGGCCCCTACCACCGCGTGACAGCATCTACCTTGGCTGACACACGAGAGAGAATCAGGAAACCTCCAGAGCTAAGTGCCTGAGTCTCTATCAGTTTATCTGAAGAGCCAGGTGCTGTAAAAGACACACGTCTTCCCCTCAGTTCATGCATTTAGCCCCCAAGTTTGATCTTGAGCAGGTACTATTCTGTCTTTCCTGTTGGAATGTGATTAGACAGAAGATGCCCTCGCCCCATTTCCTCACAAGAGAGCATTGGCTTTTGAAGTGGAGCAGTGGCAGTTTTTTGAGCGTCAGAAGTGGGAGCATCCTAAGCAGGCCTCTGTACAGGCATTTCCTGGCAGAGAGGGCGTTTTTGTGACCTCATACCTTATTAAAGAGCCAGATCCCATTGAAATCACTCCATTCAGGCACTGACTCTGACAGGAGCAAGAGAGAGCTCAAAGTATGCATGTGGCACCCGATTGTGCAACCACTGAACTCATATTGCAAGGTGCTGAGCACTCTCAACATTCACTGACTTCTGTGGGAGTCGGAGGAGTTTAGAACCTGGCAGGAGGTGCATCGTGCTTGACAGGATTGGCCTAAAGCTTTTTCTGTAGCTGTATGTTGCCAAATGCTGTGCCCAAACATAAGCTGTAGTTACAACACAGCATTGGCCAACCCCAGACCAGAAGCTGGAGCACCATTTCATGATGTGTTGGCTATTTTTGGGGGCAAACTCAGGGCAGCTAGAGCGTTGCTACATGGAAGATCTGCAGAGGGAAAAAATGCTCAAACATAAGTGAAAGAAGTTAAAAAAAAAATCCAGAGCTCCTAATCTCTGTCACACTAACCTGAAGAGATCAAATGGAAATGTGCATGAGATACTTTGAATTTACCAAAATGAGTTTATAGATTGATTGGGATTTTCTCTGCACTGCATGCAGATAGGGACTCATCACTAAATACTGCGGTAATAATGCTTTCTCAATTAGGAACTGAAGTCTTAGATAAAAAGGTGGTGTCCTTCTATTTTTTTAAATAGCAGAGGATAGTTTTCAATAGTAGGATAAAAGCTTCACATTACAGCCATGGAGGGTAGCCATGAAAAACCCACAGAAGTCATTCACTGGAAAGGCTTTAGTGGGATATACCAGGCCCCTTATTTATATTTCAATAGAAAGGCTTTCTGCATTAGCCAAGAAAATCAGAATCTGCATTTAACATTAAAGGTATTTCCCAGTGAGAGGCTGTAGAGCATTGTTGTTAGATTTGTTAAAAAAAGAGGCTAAATACGATTTCATAAAAGGGAAACTTAATCTCTAAGGCAGCTTTCCGCCACCCCTGCCCCCTCACGTTATTTTATTTTATTTTTTTTGGTAATAATGCAGCAGCCTATAGTACTTTTACTTTATATGTGACGAAAGATATTCTTAGCCCTTCTGCGCTGTGACAGGAAGAATGAATTTTTTTATTCCACCAAGAAATATGTAAAATAATCCCTTAGAAGTATGGGGAGATATGTTTGTTCAAAGCATTTAAAATGCTATTTTAATCAAAGGCACAAAACATTCTACATGCTGTGTCAGCTAAAGGAGACCATTACATTTTAACAGCAAATCATGCTCCTTTTTTTCTCCTCTAAACCAACCCCCCCCACACACACTTTGAAACAAACTTTTTTTTTATTAAATAAAAAGGAAAAGATTAAAGAATAAAAACTTCAGTGGCTCAAATGTATAAAGTAATTTAATATAGTGGAAGCATTAATTATTTTAGCTTAATTGAATTCTGAGGACTGCAGTAGTTGCATTTTTGTAGACAAGCTCTGTTTATTATTTCTTTGTGTAGATTAACAGTAAAGGAAACATAGATAACTTTCAGTTATTGTAAAATAAATGTGTCAATTCATGTGTAAAGCAAGTTGTTCAAAGATAACTGAGTCTTTATATTTGAAGAGGGAAACCAGAAATCACCCACTCGCCACTTGGCTCCCTGAAATATGCTGCCACCACTACGGCCCTCAAATAGGTTTCTGGACTTTCCTTAATCCCGTGTTGTTTTCGTAGACCTTCTTATTCAGTTGAAATGATTTGTGTAGCCTTCTGCTGTGTGACTAAGATGCACGATGTTACAGCCCCCATGGCTGAGAATAGCTAAGGTAAGTCAAGCACTGAGCTTGGCTGAGCCATAGAACCCTCTTACTCTCTGGGTGCGAGGGTGTTTCCTCTGGTGTGCCGGAAAGTAGCACATTATAGAACTTTAATCCTAATTCAGGGTGCTCCGCAGTTGTAAGAATTTTTTTTCTTTTTTGGAATGGTTGGGTTATAAGGCTTCATATTGCAAATTCCCAGCTGGATTCATGACCTCAATTGCCAAAGCCCTGAATTTTGTTCTTTAACATTCCATGACTTAGCCAAGTTCTTCTTTGATAGACTCATGGATAGCTTTCTTTCATTCTTTCTTCACAGCCTTCATCTGAAGCCAGGTGTGACTCCACTTAATATGCTCAGTGACTCCTACCTGACCACATCATTGGTGGCTTTACAATATTTACATAACTAACAAGAGACAAGTGGATCTTGAGCTCTCTCTCTCTCTCTCTCTCTCTCTCTTTCTCTCTCTCTCTCTCTCTCTGTGTGTGTGTGTGTGTAAAAAACACAAATCCAGAACTGAAATTTCTAGACTTCAGTAGAAGAGGAGATAACTTTTCTCCGGAAGCAGGATTAGATTTTGAAAACCTTCTGACATTGAAGACCATAGTGTTCTCTTAACTTGTAATTTGCTAGGCCACACTTTGGCTGATCAAAGAACTTTCTTTTTGTTATTACTGTTTATAAGGTATGCTTTTTAATGTTACATGGCCAGTGTAAAGTAATGACTTGACTGCGGGCAGTTTATTCTGCAAACTATTTGTTTATTTTAAATAGGCCATCCTGTTTGGAAACCTGTTCTCGTGCACCTCCAGAAAGCACTGTATTAACAGATGCTTCAAACTGTGCCACAAAAAATGAAGCCAGACCAGTGAATTAGCTAAGAGTTGTCAATCACTGTTGCATGCATTTTATAAATATCAGTTGTTTTGGAAGAAGGAGGAGAAATACAGTGGCTTTTTGTAGCTTGTCTTACCTTCCATGGATAGGTTCTGTGAGCTTTGTCTCTCGTTCACAAGTGTAGACCAGGAGCTATATATTTGCAGCAGTGCGACCAAAACAACAGCAGAAATTCATTAAGCCAGAGAAGTTAATTTCTGCAAAGACAGTACTGTGAGTAGGAGTTAATTTGAATTCCTCATTCATCAAGATCAGGCCACCAGTGCTGCACTCTCTCCATTATGGACTTGAGCTAGATGTACATGGTGAAAAACCCCTTCCTGGCAAATGTAGGATTTAACTGTAACTCCTGGTCCATGAATGTGCATTCCAGGCTTTTAAATGGTAAAACTGCCTGTAGA